GGAAGGAAGGAGGAGAAGGAGGAAGAGGGGGAGGATGAAGAGGAGGAGGGAGGGAGGAGAAGGAGGAAGGGGAGGAGGAAGAGGAGGAGGAACAGGAGGGAGGGAGAAGGAGGGAGAGGGGAGGAGGAAGAGGAGAGGGGGAAGAGAAGGAGGGGAGGAGGAGGAAGAAGGGGAAGAGGAGGAGGAAGGGGAAGAGAAGGAGGGAGGAGGGAGAGAAGGAAGAGGAGGAGGGAGAGGAAGAGGGAGAGGAGGAAGAGGAGGAAGGAGGGAGGAGGAGGAGGAGGGAGGAGGGGGAGGAGGCAGCGGCTGCACCCTGGGTAACAGCTGACTGCTGAAAGGCTGACATCTCTGTTGGGCTGCGGTGGGGACCGGGGAGAGGCGACCAGGGAGAGGCTGGCGACTGTTCCTTTGATTGATTTTCTCTGCAGGCTGGAATTGCGTTGCTGAGGTCATAAGCCCCCACATCTCGGGCCTCGGTGGGAGCACTCCGGGTCCAGTCAGGGTGGCCAGTGTGGTCCTGGCTCAGCATCTGCTTCTGCTGCATCCAGGAAGTCAGAGCCTCTGGGAGCCTGGACAGCAGCTGTCTCCTCTGGCCTTAATCCTCCATGAGAGCGTTAGCTCTTCATCTCTTCCACGGCCAGGCGCTAGTGCCTGGGCATCATGAGACGCAAACAATATGGACCTGTATCCACAGAGCTTGCTCTCTGCCCTTGCCCTCCAGGTCTTAGCCCTGAGCTTCTCTATCAGATCAAATAGCCCAGCAGCTTGAAAAGGCCAGAACTGTGCAGTCTCCTGGGTCTGGAAGCAGGAGTGGTAGCCAGGGCAGGGCCGTGGGCTCTGTCTGAAGGCTGGGGGTCCTTCCCGGCACCCTCCAGCTCTTGATAGTTCCTGCGGCCCTGCCGTGGCTGCCTGACTCCAGTGACACAGCCTCTGCCTCTCTCTCCTCTGAGCACATCGGCCCCTGGGGATGCTGATGGCTCAGGGACTCCCAGAATAAGCAACAGGCGTGAGTTCCCCGGCATCTGCTTGAGGAGTGGTTCTGAGTAAGTAAGAGGGGGTATTTGAAGCATAAGGAAAAGAAAGGCATTTGGTCTGAGAAAGACCCATTTGAGGAGGGGTTGCTGAAAATTAGGCCCATTCTGTCCCACACAGTAGCATGAGCCTACCAAGGGGCTGCCTCTCCAGGCAATGGGAGTTCTTGGAAAACAGAAGATGGGGGACCAGCAGCTCAGCTCAGGGGCCCTTGTGAGAGTCTGGGACCAAAATATGGCAAAAGAAATGCATATGTCCAGGCTATCAGCCCCTAGTCCTCAGAATGTGAAGAAATAAACCCCAGAACACGGAAATGGCTCTTGTCGGAGTCACTTCTACCCTGCTGCGTTCCCAACTCTGGTGTCTTGTTTACCAATCAAGATGGGGCTGGAGAGAGGGCCCAGCAGTTAAGAGCTGCCCTTCCAGAGGCCAGCACACATTTGGTGGCTCACACTAACTCCAGCTCTAGGGGATCTGAAGGCTCTTCTGAACCCCATGGGCACCAGGCACGCACATGGTTCACAGACATACATGCAAACAAAACAGCCATACATGTAAAATAAGATAATAATTAAAAAATATGCATCAAGATGACTGGGGATCCCGTATGTTAACTGATGCTTTCTAAACTACCAAATAAACTTAAATCAAAACTTCTTGGCAGATTTTGCTTTCAAATTAGTTTTCAGTCATAGTTATCCAGTGTTGGCAGTTCTCATTTATCACACACTATATGCAAGCCCTGTGACTAAGCTCTGTCCGTTATCACCTCATGGAATCCCTTCCTCAAAGCATTGCTTTGTTTAGGAAGTGTCGAGAAGATAGGGAAAGAGAAATGTATACGACGTGCACCTGCCTTTGCACCAGCTGGGCTGGGCCGTGGCATCGACCAGTATTGCTGAAGGGAAGGCTGTGTCTCATGGAGGTGAAACTCTGGCACACAAGACTACACAGGTTACCGAAAAGTCATGGTGGGAGGGCACAACTTTTCTTTTCATGGCCTCCTGCTCCTTTCTGCTGAGGTCTTGTGTCTGCCAGGATTATGCTCAGTCTGTAGGCTGTCATGCACTGAAAAACTTTGCCATGTTTTGATTAGAGTACATGACAGGAACTTAGCTCACCATAGGAGCGTGCCAGGCGGACCTTGAGAAATGACATAGGTCATGATGGCACCAGGAGACGCAAGGTCTCTTTTGTAGTTTGTTTGGTTTCATTGAGAAAAGAATTTAGAAGAGGTTCAGAGGGGAATGCAAGGCAACTCTTATTGGCATTTGAGAGAAAAACAAGATGAGCACGCTAGAGATGTGAGCAGATCTGGGGAGAGGGAGAGAGAGAGAGAACATTTCAGAACTCAGGAAGCAGCCAGGTTCGGCAGAGTTGGAGTAACTGTGTTAACAGCGGCTTCGGGGTGTATATGTTTGATGTGTCTCCTTAGTGGGGTTCTCATCCTCCCATTCTCTACATTCTGCTGTATGCTTTCTTTTTTGAGACAGGGTTTCATGAATTCCAGGTTGGCCCTGACCTCACCATGTAGGCAAAGATGACTTTGAACGCTGCTCCTGCGTTGGTATTTCAGACATGTGCCAACATTCCTGGTCTATGCAATTCTGGGGCTCAGACCCAGGCTCTGGGCATGCCAGGCACACCATCTGCCAACCAAGCAACCCCTCATTGTCTTGACCTGTGTGTACCCCCATTCTTTCTACCTGTGTCTTTAGTTTGTAAAACAGTGTTTTCTCCTATCACTGTCTCGGACTTCTGGGTGTAGGAACCTCCCTCCTGCTGTCTACATCAAAACCATGGACCAAACCATCTTGTCAGGGTCACGGTCCATCAGCCGGGCCATCTGCCTTAGAGGAATAGTACATCAGAGTGATGGAGGGGAGACAGATGGCTTCAGAGGCCCTTTCCTCTTCATTCCTGTCCAACCAATGAGAGGGCTTCTTCCCTTGCTGGGCTGAGGCTCGGATTCTCCCAGGGGTGAGTTATTAAACACAGGGTTTAGTACTTTCTGTTTCTCTCTGGAGACCTCTGTCAGCAGGTGATGGCTTCCACTGTTATGACACATGAGAGGCTCTCTCCAGATGCCATCTAATGGTCTCGGACCTCCCATCCTTCGGAACCACACAAGTCAGTGTCTGCTCTCTGCGCAAAGCTCTCCCCGAACCGAGCACTCAGCTGCAGCTGTACAAGCCATAAGGAGCGACCCCTTTTCTTGAAATAGCTCCATTCCACCGAGGGAGGGAGAGCTGGCAACTGAGACAGAGAACAAGACACCTTCCTTAGGAAGCCGAGAGGGTTTCCCTCTCCTTTATGCCCCTCTCCTCTCCTCTCCTCTCCTCCCCTCCCCTCACCTCTCCTCTCCCCTTCCATCCCCCCTCCCCCCCCCCCCCCCCCCCCTCCCACCCCTCC